GTGCCAATCCCGTGCCCATGGTGCCAATCCCGTGCCCATGGGGCAGCCGTGCCCATCCTACCCGGGGCCCTGTGAGCTCCTGACGAGTCCCAGCCCATCGTTGTGTGCCAGCTGTGCCCACTCTCGGCGTGCCGGGGCGGTGCCAGGCAGGTCCCCACGGGTCCTGCTGCGACTGCTGAGTGCTTTTGGGGGAGAGCAAATACGTGCAGGCCTGTGCCAGGTGGGGGGAGTCACCTGCCCCGTGCCATGGCACAGCTGTGCCAAGCTCTGCACCAAGGCACTGCTACGCTGAGCTTGGCCCCACCATGGAGCCCCACGGGGGGATTGGGGTGCCCAATTCACAGGGCATTGGGGTGCCAGCCCCATGGGGCATTGGGGTGCCAGCCCCACGGGGGGTTGGGGTGCCCAATTCACAGGGCATTGGGGTGCCAGCCCCACAGGGGGATTGGGGTGCCAGCCCCACAGAGAATTGGGGTGCCCAATTCACAGGGCATTGGGGTACCCAGTTTACAGGGGATTGGGGTGCCAGCCCCATGGGGGGATTGGGGTGCCCAATTTGCAGGGAATTGGGGTGTCAACCCCGTGCAGGGCTGGGGTATGAACCCCACAGGGGATTGGGGTGTCAGCCCCGTGCAGGGTTGGGGTGTCAGCCCCGTGCAGGGTTGGGGTACCCAGTTCACAGGATATGGGGGCTCTGGCTGTGCTGGGGGTCCCACTGGGGACTGAATCCCCAGCTCCTCCCATCCCTGTGCTGGCTCTGGGGGTCTCCCCTACCACCCTGCTGTGGGGTGTGGGGCGGCCAGGCAGGAGTACAGGCAGCCCTGGCAGCCCCAGGAAGGTTTTGGGGTCCCCACAGCCCCACTGAGCCTTTCTGACCCGCCCCCCAGGCCAATGCTGATCGACATGAGCCGGGTTTACCGCCAGAGCAACCTGGAGAACCTGGACCAGGCTTTCACCGTGGCCGAGAGGGATCTGGGGGTCACCCGGCTGCTGGACCCCGAAGGTACAAACTGGGGGGGGTCCCTCTGTGGAGCCCCATCCCTCCCCACCACGGGATCCACCCCCCTGACCCCCTCCCTCCCTCCCTCCCTGCAGACGTGGACGTGGCGCAGCCGGATGAGAAATCCATCATCACCTACGTGTCCTCGCTGTACGACGCCATGCCGCGCGTGCCCGAGGTGCAGGACGGCGTCAAGGCCAACGTGAGTTGGGGAATGTCCTGGTTTGACAGGCAGGAGCCTCTTTTTAATGGAGAATGTGAACCCCCTTCCCTCCAAATTATTGTAATTTTGAAATTAAGGAGCTCTCAGGCAAAG